AAAATTGTATGAAACTTCAAATTAAAAAAGTTGAACTTGATTTAAGAGTTATTCCCCTTTGAAATTTTAAACATATCAGCAATTGCATTGCAGTTGCTCTCAAGCATTCATTTTTCTTAGATATTTATAAAGATTTGAATTTGCAAAAGTGTTTTTTTTTCATGTTATTGCCAGTGGACAGGTATAATATGTGTGTAGGTGTAATACCACCATTGCTTATGAAATTTTCCCCTATTAGTTTGTTAAATTTGCATTTTTCAAAAAATTGTGCAGAATTTATCTTTGGTTCAAACAAAGAAATACTTGGCATGAGTAAAGTTTTATCCTGTCCAGTACTACAGACAAAATTTCACATAACATTTCATTTTATTATACTTCACGTAAAAAATGCCATATTGTGATTGGCTAATACGAGGGTGTTAATTTACTCTATCACATGGCTGAGCGGGTGACAATTTTTTTGAATGTCACACTCTCGTCCAGACCAATCAAAAATCGACAATTCAAAGGACAATGAATTGAATTTACATCAAGAAATTGAAGACAATACTTAAGTTCTACCTTTTGGCTCAGATTTTATTATTTGACTGTCAAAATAAAAAAAATAAATCATTTTGCTTCCCTTCTGTTTTCTAATTGGTTGACAATGTTTTCTAGGGGTAACAATCTGCTATATCACTCTCTCAGCTATGTGTTATTTATATAGTATATATACTACAACTGTCAAATTCAATGGAATTTGGACCCTTTTTTGTATGCAACCAGATGTGACATACTATGATGAGTTGGCATTTCATCTAAAGAAGATTTTTTTGTTATATAAACTGAATGTGATTTTTTATTCTCTGTTATACTGGTTATATTTCAAGCATTAGTGTCAAGTTTTGTCATAATCAGTTCAATAGTTTGAGAAATATCTAGTATAATGTACTCGTCATCTATTTTAACATATAGATCAGTATAACGAAGAACTCTCAACTGTTTTTTTTGAAAATCGACATTAAAATTGATTTACATAATTTCTTTTGCTGGATTAAAAAAAAATATGGTAAAAATAAAATTCTACTGCCAGAAATTTTCTTGCTTAATATAAGAATTGAAACAAGAGATAACTTTCATTTGTGATGTTCAAGAGTTAGCAGCGGTGACTTTCAGGTTTTCAGGTTGAAAGTATTTTTTGGCATATCACTGCACTCACTCCATTATGATTACAAAAATAAGAAGTTGTGGTATGATTACCATCTACCCGATACCAAATGAAGTAAAAGTTAACAAATATAGCATAAGTAACCAAACAGTCATCAACACATCCTTAACGCTTATCAAAATTTATATATTTGTATTGTCCACATTCCTTCAACATGTTCAACCCCTCTGGTTTTAAATATTCATTTCTTTAATAATTAAAAAAAAAAGCTTTGAAACTTCTGTCTGCACAATAAATGAAGTTCACATGTTCTTTTTATTAATTTTTATTCTAGATTTGGCAGAAAAAATCTCTGATGAAAATGATCTAGAGAAGAACCATATCCATAGCAGCTTAGAAGGTGAAGTAGCACAAACACAATTGTTTTTCATTGATATGCCAAAAGAAAACAAAAACTGAAGAACAATTTCACTTTATCCCTTGAACTTTTAGGAAATATGTACAAGGTTGATGGACAAAATGAAGATCATACATGTACTAGACCAAATTACCATTTATACAGTAATGATATGTTTAAATTTCCTTGAGGACTAATATGAAGGTTATTTACTCATCTTATTGTTATACTGATTACAAAATGCAAATGTGGCAATTAAAAAAGTAAAATTGTAATATATAAACTTTTAATGCAAATTATTCAAAGTCAATGAATTAAATTATATAAGATAATTAAACCTAACAATCATTCAATACATATATTGCCATATTAAAATGAGTCATCTTTGTTGAAAATTCATAGTTATTTTTTATAGTTAATGATGTAGAGTCTAACTCTGAAGATGATGAAAATTTAAGAAAGGAAGATCTTTGGAATGAAGGTATAAAAACTTATATTTATATTCTATGGATTGAAAACTCAAACAGATTTAAAATGACCAGGCCTTCAACAATGAGCAAAACCCATACACATATTTCCATTCTCAATATTATATAACCTGTAATGAGTTGTATCACCACGTCAAGATAGAATTTGAAAGTTTTGCTTAATAAAAATAGTTCAAGATGAAAAACATAAACTTTTCGCATCACTTGGTGTTGTCCGTCATTGTCTGTTAACTTGTACAATAAATCTTCTCTGAAACTAATGGATAACTTATTATCGAAAGTAATAAGCGACTCAGCTGAGAAAGGAAATTATCAGTCAGCAAGATCAAAGGAAAATTTCATAAAATAGGGATAAGTGTATTGAGAAGCATTGTTTCTTATTAAAAAAACATGCACTGATAAAATGTTATTCTGAAAAAAAATGACATTAATGCTACAGTGGTTAATTATAATTGCAGTAGAGGAATCAGGTGATGAAGTAACTTTTATGGAGGAAGACATGTGGCATACAGGTACTGGTATGTTTTTTTTATTTATTGACTACAACATCAATTGTTGTGCATGTTATACCGTAGCAAAATAGGAAAGTACTACCAAATGAGTTCAAGAAATGGGGGCTACTCAGGCAGATTCTACTTTCCAAAAATTGCTTCCATTCCTAGTCCAAATAATTATGACGTCTTGAAAGGTTATTATATTTTTTTTCTTTGACGCCTTACAACGATGTAAGGCGTCAAAGAAAAAAAATATAATAGCCTTTCAAGACGTCATAATTATTTGGACTATTCCATTCCATATTATTTTTTACCCACCATATGAATAAGAAAAAAAATACTGGTAAGAAGTGCATATATATATTCTTTTTCAGCAACTGAATTATTAGGAAGTTTATTTAAACACAACCTCACTGTCATGACTACTCATTTCATTTGGCCATATATGTTTAACCAGAATAATGTAGTCCCTGTGTCCGTGATCACCTCTGAGAATGATTAATTTATATTTATTGACAAATGGATATATGTAATCGTATTCTTTTGTTTATTGTAGAATTTGGAGGTGTATTAAGTTTTGTTGAGGAGTTGGAAAATTCTCAAGATAATGTTGTTGATGATGAACAGATATTTAATACAGGTGAAGAATTTAGATAAAATAATTTGTTCAGGAATTGTACACAATATTTGTATAGGTTATTGATGTGTTAACCTGATGTATATATAACTCACAAACAAATTGATCAAATGACGCAGAAATGAACAACTGCAGGTCACCGTAAGGTCTTCAACAATGAGTCAAACCCATACCGCATAGTCAGCTGGTAAAGCCCCAGAAATGACAAATGTAAAACAATTCAAACAAGAAAACTAAAGGCCTTCTTTATGTACCATAAAATGAACGAAAACCAAATATCATATACAGAAGCAAATGACAACCACTGAATTACAGGATCCTGACTTGAGTATACTTTTAATAAAAGTTGCACAAAAGTATTTGGAACCAATTAAGTCATACATTGCGAATAAAAGGCATTATTTACTCGTATTTCTAAGACCCAATAAGGCTCCATCATCGAATTTGTTATTTGGTAGCAGAGTTTTAATGAAATCTTTTTAATAGATGATGTATTAGAATTTATTTTATTAAAGAATATGGAAAATTATAATCTCGTGACATCAAAGCAAATTTAGTTTTTATTATGATTCTTATTGCAGAGCTTGAAGAGGAATGTTATTCAGCAGAGGATTCAGAATTTTCCGAAGATGAGTTAGTTGAAGAAACATCAAATAGAGGTATACTGAACAATTCTTTAAACTTTTATATGTTATTCAGGTTTCAGACAAGGAATAAACCCTATGTCACCACATCCGAAATCTGAAGTACACCTAGATGAGATTACTCTTTCTAAATATATTTTCCAGTACTAGGTCTGTGTTTAACATTTACCATGCATGCATTTATATAGATATTCAATATATGCTTCTGTATATGTTATGTATCTTAATTAAATGTGTTGTTTTCATTTTGACAAATAGATTTTTTTTATGTTAAATATGTTTTTTCAATAAAGTATTAATATTTATACATGTAACCAAATCACAACTACTTAAAAAACAGCAATTTAAATGATGATGATAGATGTTTGTTTAAATTTTGAGTATCTATTCCAAAAAAGAAGTGCATTACACTATATGACATGCTAATTTCAGAGAAAATTTTTGTTATATTTGTATGTTACAGGTAAAAGAGGCAGGCCAGTTGGATCAACTAAACCTTATGAAAATTTACACCCTGGAGATGAAACTGATGAACTTCCAAGGAAGAAAAGTATGAGTGAAATAACATTACTATTGTGGTTATTATGGGTGATAGATTAGCTATTCTATAAAAATTCAAGCTTTTGGGGGTTTTTAATTGTAAAGTATGATTATAGTTTAAATAATTTGAAACATTATATGATACATGTAAATTATTGAGTCTTTATTGGATGTTTTATTTTTAGTTCTATACTGTGAACATGGTGAACGTATTTTATTCAAACAAATGTGATAATTATGAGGCAACTATGTTGTGTCTATGTTAATTAGGCATCAGTTCTTTTGCATCAGCATTATTATTTTTCAAAGTATCAATTGTGCCAATTTATACAATTCAATCAGACCAATGAACGTGTGCATTTATGTGTTTACAATACATAATAATCCTTAATAAGTTGTTGTTAAAAGAAAACATCTATTTAAAAAAGGGACTATTTGAACTGCAAAGATTGATAAGACCTAAAGATGTGAAGAGCTAGTAAGTAGCCTGCATGATCAAAAGTGATCTAAATCAGCCAAGTTTCACACACACTTAAATGAAGGTTTACTTTATCCAATCTGGCTTAAAAAAAGTTTTTGTATAAATCCCTAAGTTCAATAAAGAAGAAATTAATTCTGTTCATATTTACTTAAACCTTTTGTTTCAGAGAAATCAAATCTTGTAACCATGTGTAATCTTACATATACAATCTGCTGCACAATGTTATGTCTTTCGGGTATAGACTACATGACCTTAGAAACTGCCAGGAATAACTATCAAAGTCTAAGTCAAGCAGAGAAAAGTCAGTTTCTTTTAGACTGGCTTAACAGTCATTCAAGGTACTATATTATAAGATCACTGTTGATAAGAAATATTCTTGTCCTTTTTTGGCTAATTCTGCAAATAACATGAAACTTGATCAGACTACTGCAAGCAGTTGTCACTGAATCACTCATTCCTTAACTTCAGAGATAATGATAAAATAAGAAGATGTGGTCTGATTGCCGTTGAGACAACTGTCCACAAGAACCAAATGACACAGAAAATGAACAACTGCAGGTCCCTGTAAGGCCTTCAACAATGAGTCAAACCCATACTGCATAGTCAGCTGGTAAAGGCCCAGAAATGACAAATGTAAAACAATTCAAACGAGAAAATTAAAGGCTTTCTTTGTGCACCAAAAAATGAACGAAAACCAAATATAATATACAGCAAAAAACAACAACCACTGAATGACAGGATCCTGACTTGAGTATACTTTTAATAAAAGTTGCACAAAAATATTTGGAACCACTTAAGTCATACATTGCGAATAAAAGGCATTATTTACTTGTATTTCTAAGACCCAATAAGGCTCCATCAACGTAAAAAAAAATATTCAAATCTCTGTAAAAGCCTTTAAAAGAAGATATCATACACAAGTATGACTCAGAGAAAAAGTTATTATCTAAAATTGTTTACCATACAAGGTTATTTCCCTTATGGCTCATACAACTTCTCTAAGGGCCACACCTTTTGTATTAAACCAAACTAACAGTTGAGGGCCTTTTGAACCATTGAAAAAAAACTTGCATTAGTCATGAATGTCAAATCATGTTTATAGAAAAATAAGAATTTATCATTTATATTAGGGATGTAAACTCGGTGAACAATTACTAATCGAGTACTCGTTGGTTTTTTCCAGCAATACTCGAGCACTCGCTCGGGAATATATCTACAACACGGAAACACAAAAATATGTATTTTACAATCTGTGGTTTGTTGTTAAACGGACGAAAAACCATCTACATAAGTATCTGGGACAAGGAATATCACACCATAATTAATAGGTCATTATCTAAAAGTACTAATTTAGTAAACAAAAAAAAAAACAATACTGTAAATTCAGAAATTATTGCGATGTTTTTATTATTGCGATAAATGCGACAGGGTTATAATCGCAATAATTTAAACTCGCATTTTGAAATTTTTTATATGAATTAAACATGATTTTTCTCAATATCACAAAATTTAAGATCGCATTTTAGTCTAAAATGACAAAATCGCAATAATAAATGCACGCAATAATTTCTGAATTTACAGTAATCTAATCAATATAATTTAATGAACACCTATCTAAAAATTATAACAAGGAAAAACCATATCAAACAATAGTATTTGGTAATCACTAAGAAAACACATAAGGCGTAAGGATTAGAAGTTTGATTATTTACTGAGGGTCACCAGAGGATGCAACGAATTAATTTTATTTGGAAACATTTTCTTGTCAACTATTATTAGGGACAGTCAGTTTTGCAACTTTGTAAATTACAGTCTTGCAGACGAAAATATTTGCTCTGACGGTTCCGATGTGACGGAATGGCTAAGACATGTTTAGTTTAGAGTGTTAGCCTAGGTACAGCCCACATATTTTCTGAGGCATTTGAAATGGAAATTTAGCACACACATTCGAAACAAAATGTATTTCATTTACTAGTATGATTAATCAGTGATGCCTATTTAATTTTCCTAAAGAGGTTCTCAAGAAGATCAATTTTATATTAAGAAGGCAGCAATATTCTAACAGGAAACCGATTAGTTGAGTATCATTTTGGTATTCGATACTCAGTACTACCGAGCAATACTCGAATACTAGAGTACTCGTTGACATCCCTAATTTATACACCAGAGCAAGTCTCTTTCTGTTAAATATTTAATTGTAGTTTTACTTTTCAGAAAGATTTTTTCATCAATATTCTTCATGTCATTACAATGTATAACAAATATTTTACCTTGTATTTACATACTTTTATTATATATTTAGTAGTAAATACAGTAGTTTTGAATATTTGATTGCCTGCTGTTTAATCGCTATCACTCAACTTTGATGCAGACCCTTTATTACACCCCTTTATCGCATGTCTAACCTTTATCTCACCCCTACTCACATTCTTAATGTCCATGTTTTGATTAATTGAAGATTCTCATCCTTTCTGTATATAATTTAAATAAAATATTGACGATCAAATAATGAAATATTTTTCTTCAATGGGTCTCAAATGAAAAGGTCATTATGGCCTGACGTCATTTATGGATTGACAAAAAAATGACGCCATTGTTTGGCATGTGATGTCACAGATGTCAAGCTTTCATATTTTCTGGCACATGAAATGCAACCATAAAAAACTACCAGCAGCAATAGGGTTAAACTTTAAATTTTAATATTTCAAAAGTGCACATTTAATGTTGGTTTATTGTTACCCTTTTTTTTTTTTTAACAAGGAAAAAATAAATCTGAAGATTGCTTTGGATTAGTAAACAGTTCATATATACTCTCCTGTTATATATATGATTATTTTAGCGTATATGTCGTATCACCCTCGACTAATATCATCCCTCAAGCCTAAAGGTCCTCAGGCTGATATTGGTATCTTGGAATGATACGGTATGTGATATGGATTTTGCCATGTACTATTTTCTGTGTATTATATAATTAAAGCCTGAATGAATAAATTGCAGAATAAATGAAGAAACTGGAAAATTTGAATTTAGATTCGTGATTGGAACAGCTACAGTCTGCCTTTCTGCATTCCTTATGGTTCTTGGGATACCATCTTCAACCTACTATAATATAAGGAAAAGGTTTTATGGTAATGTATAGATTTGATTTGATTGAAAATTATTATGTATGAGGTGCTGTAAAAGCCACACAGGGCAGGGGTGGATCCAGCCATTATCAAAAAGGGGGTTCCCAACCCAGGATAAAGGGGGGGGGGGGTCCAACTAAATGTCCCATTTCAAATGCATTGATTCCCCCTGGATCCGCCACTGCAGTACACATGTTTGACATTTCAATTGAAATGTAAATGGCAGCAATATATTAAAGGGGCACTAGCTGTCAAATTCATGTTCACCAATTTGACACAAATTCTCATATTTGATTTATAACAATGTAAAACATTTATCCAAATTATAAAAAGTCTAAAAGATACAATTTACAGGGCATGGGGTTGATAAAATACAGCTTTGTTTCGTGTGATTTTTAGTCTAGAGGCCATCTAATTAACTATTGAGTTGACCTCCAATGGCCATATAAGTGATATGAACATAAATAAAGATGTATAGACAATAACTGTTAAGTGTCTTTAAATATCAGCTGTATTTGTACGAGGCTGAGAAATAGGTGTAATGTGAGCTTTAGCGAGAATAAGAATGATTTTTTGTGGATCGAAACAGTCAATCGAATGATTTACCTTTGTTTCACTTTCAATGTTGACATTCTTTTCCTTTAAATAACTGAACACGGACAGTGCATGTGTTATTTTTTTCTAGTGAAGTTAAATCAAAGTTCATATGAATATGGATTCAATGAGGTCGAATAATTCACTTGCAAGTGAAAAATTCATCATCAATGTTTCATATCTTATTTTAACAAAATTGAACCATACCAGCTGCTAAAAGCAAATGATTATTTCACTATTTTACTTTCATTGATTGAACCAAAAAAAAATCGTATTTTAGATTTTTTCTATATCTCGTAACTAATTATAATTGCTCTTACATTTAGATGGTGCATGTGTGATAGGTAATTCTGGAAATTGTATAGGAAGGATGAAAGCTGAAAGCCAAGTAGCAATCACTTGGCTACATATGTATGCCATTCAATTTGGAGAAAAATTGCCTGATCAACCCAAGATACATCTGCCTCCATGTATGACAAAATTTTCTGTTTACGAAGACCTATCTGAAAGCCTAAAGAACCAAGAGGAAGAAGTTATTTCATTATCACATTTTTATTACTTATGGCGGACATGTATGTGTCACATTGCAATACCAAAGGTAAATTGTTATCTATTTAGACTTTTTTACATTCAGTCTTATAAAAAAAAAGGTTTAAATTTTTGCCTGGGAGCATTGAAAATTTAAAAATAAATTGTGAAATGTGTCCATGGGACACAGATGATGCCCCCGCTTGCATATCATATAAAGTTATAAAGCGGCATACCTTAAGAACGATAAAAATGACGGTACCCAAGTTTGTACTTGATCTGTGTTTTGTGGTAAATTAGTATTGTGTACAAGTTTCATAACATTTGGTTGTGGCAAACATATATAAGTAAGAAAACAGATATGAAAAATTCAGCAATTTTTCTATTTATAAAGGGACATAACTCTAAAAGAGTAAGAGTGATGCCACCAAAATTCAAACTTTATCTGTGTTTTGTGAAAATAAGCATTGTGTATAAGTTTCATAATTTGGTTGAGGCAAACTAAAGTTGGAGAACGGAAACTAAAATTTAATCCATTTTTTTAATTTATAAAGGGGCATAACTCTATAACGATTAAAGTGACACCACCAAAATTCAAACTTGATCTGTGTTTCATGGTATTTAACATTGTGTATATGAGAACAGAAACTATTCAACTTTAATTAATTTTTCCATCCATAAAGGGGTATAACTCTAGAACGATTAAAGTGACAACACCAAAATTCTAATTTGTTCTGTGTTTTATGGTAATCTTGACTGTGTATAAGTTTTATAACATATGGTTGAGGCAAACTGAAGTTAGAGAACAGAAACTAAAAATTTAGCAATTTTTCCATTTATTAAGGGGTTTAACTCTAATACGGTTAAAGTGACGCCACCAAAATTCAAACTTGATCTGTGGTTTTGTGGTAATAAGTTTCATAGCAATTAGTTGAGGCAATTAAAAGTAGGGAAAGGAATCCAAATTTGGGACATACGACGATACGTATGTATGTACGTCTCAAAGTTGGTTTCCTTTTTATTACTTTAGTTTGCCTCAACTAAATGGACATACATATGTACAGACGGACAAGGATAAAACTTAATGCCCCCTCAGCTACAGTTGGGGCATAAAAATTGTCTAATATTTGGTCAGATATTCCGAAATACTTTCCAGACTGAACCAAATTTTGTCTTAATTGACTTACCCCATTATATATTAAAATGGATTAAAAAAAAAAAACATGCACATAAGTTGCCACATTTAAAAATTAGAAGATGTTATATAATTGCCAATGAGACAATTTATCCATGAGAGACCAAATTTATAAGTAAACAACAATATACCATTGTTCCTCCTTCGACAATGAGCAAAACCCATGCTGCATAGTGAGCTATAAAAGGCCCAAAAATAACAAATGTTAAACAATCAAACAAGGAATCTAACTGGCTGTTTAATGTGAATATAAATATAGTATACAGCAACAAACAGCAACCACTGAATTGAACATAAGAACAAAGTACAAATATTTTGTTCAAAAGTTGGAAAGTAAGACAAAGGGACCTAATTTATTCATGAACTACTATTAAAAGGATTTTCTTAGAAACTAGGTCCAAAATGCACAACTTTAAGAAATCAGGAAATTAAGTAGGTAAAATAGCAAAAAACAAAATACACTTCATATATCATAATTAACCGAAGAGGGTCTTGTTGAGGACTTATTGATATGCTTAACATACAAGTATGCAAGGCTTTACCTATGTAGTATATTCATTTCTTGTATCTTTAAACTAATTTTTTAGGCATCCCGATTTTCCAAGTGTAACAAGTGTACACATATAAAAACAAAATTAGCAGAAACAAGAAATAAAGTCGAAAGAGAAAAATTACTGAAGAAACGTGAAAAACATTTGAAACAGCAGAAGTAAGTAATTCTTTCCTGAATTGTAAGAATATAGATATAGCATTTATGAGTACCAGCAAAGTAAACTAATTTGACATTTGATGCATGAAAAATTAATAATGAAAATCCTGTCAATGTTGTTTACACTGAAATAAATGATTTGCTGTTTGAGAATACCAAATTTTAGCATATCGAGAAAATTGATAAATAAATTGATGTTTCCAAAAGTGTTATTTATTTTTTTAATAAAGGATTATCTTTATTGTCTTAATGTTTTCAGAAACATAATAAAAATGATAGGTTGCCAAGCTTGTTTTCAAGCTACAGTCATAATATGAGTAGAAGGTAAACTGAATGTTAGAATTCTGAAATATCATATCAGATGATAGCTCTTCAAAAACTACTCTAATAATATCAAAATAATAAATCAGATCTCTGTACATTTTTTTGATGTTATAACATAAAATATAAAAACAATTCTGAAGATTCCTTTATTAATAATACTTTTCCTGAGTAACCTCCTCTTAATATATGATAAGTTTGAAGAAAAACTTAATTCAACTAGAATTAGTCTTGGTTCGTAATTTAATAAGTGATTATAACCTTAGATCGCATTTATTTGTTCATTTAAAAGCAGTCTTTATTAGTAAGTTGCATTTCTGTCATGAAACTTGCTGACCTATATAGATTAATGGCATTTTGGTTTTTGATACTAACTTTATCAGCAAGAATATCAAGCAAGCCAAAAGTATATGCATCTTAACTGTATATTATTTGGATTGAGAATATGAAGTGAAATGAAATAGTTAGTAAAACTACTTAAGTGCCTATAAAACCTTGGGATAGTTGTTCGGTCATATGAATGAAGTTGCATGCATTTCATAGATAGAATGATGCGCACAGACTTGAGTATGTGATGTTGCTACACTGATATGGATGACATTATTGCCTAATATTTTCAAGTATCAAGTATGTCCATGATTCTAATAATATAGATTATCGTTGGTTATCTCAACGAGATTGATTTTCTCGCTTGAGACGGTACGGCGAAAGTGAGAAAAGCAATCAAGTTGAGGTAACCAATGATAATCTGTTTATTGCTATTTTACCTATGAAGACTTTGTTAATTTCCTTGACAACGGCACGAGTTCCCTTTGTTTCTAGCAAGAATTTTCATATCACTCGACTTCGTTTTCATATCACTGGACTCCACTGAGAAAGGATCAGAAAAGAAATTATCAGTCAGCAAGATCAAAAGGGAAAATGTTCAAATTGCCGATAAAATTAAAAATCTCCTCTAGACCTATTGTGTTCTGCTATTTTACAATCCAAAATGGAAGAAGAAACCCATACCTCCTTAATGTTCATACTCATCTGGCTAAAATGTATAATACTAGATGTATTTCTTTCTTTTTTTAGCGCAGAACGTAGAAAATACTACAAGCATGCACAGAAGGCAAAGAAAAGTCCAGATGCATATCTATCAATCATCATAGATGCGATGGACCAATCCAAAACCCAACTGCCACATTTCCTATATGCCAGCAAATTTACTAGTGCAATGTGGAAATTGAAGGTCCACTTGGTGGGATTGATAGTTCACGGTATAGGAATATATGGTTTTTTTGATGTTTTTGAATACCCTCATTCTGCCAATCTGACAATTTCCACATTGATCAACATTCTTGCCATGACAGAAGATCTACCCCCAACATTGTATCTTCAAATGGACAACTGTTACAGAGAAAACAAAAACAGGTAAGTTAACTAACCAAACCTTTTAACATTCAAATAAATATTAAAACGAATAACAGGAATCACCAGAAATATTAGACAATACAACAATGAACAAAACATCTTGACACTGTGAATTGGTGATATTTCATTATATAAAATCTACAAATTAATTCCTTTAAAACCTTTAATGTTCCCTATTACAGTCATAAATAACATATGGTCCTAAAATCAGATACAAAACAATTTTCTTTGAAATAATAAAAATGAAGACGTTGTTAATTTCTGCACGTGCGCCCTTAGTTTCTAGCGATAATTTCTCATATCACCAACGATAATCTATAATTATTACTGGCTTAAAAATGTTTCCCTATATAAAAAAATTTATGAGTTCATGATATTTGTCACAGGGCTTTAGCCCGAGGGGGCAAATTTTTGAAAAACAGGTATCACTTTAGTTACTTATATTTGGTTGTGTGTATTATTATTTACATAGTGTGCTAGTGACCTAAATAGGATATAAATGGGGTCAGTAAATTCATATGGGGTGAGAGCAAAGCTGGAATCCCAATATTGAATTTACTGACCCCATATATATCGTATTAGGTCACTAGCACACAATGTAATGAATTTAACTTACCAACTATCTTAACAGGTGTTATTTAGACTAGTGACCATTCCAAGTATTTAAGTCTACACTACCATTAGAAAAAAGAACCTACTTCCATTGGTCTATACAAAAACAAATGCCAATGGTAACAACTTGTTAGCTTTAAATGTGTTTTTATACGACCGCAAAAAAATTTTGCGGTCATATATTGGTACACAAATGTATTACTTTGGCGTCGTCGTCCGAAGACACATTGGTTTTCACACAATAACTTTAGTTTAAGTGAATGGATCTCTATGAAATTTTACCATAAGGTTAAATACCACAAAAGGAAGGTTGGGATTGATTTTGGGGGTTATGGTACCATCAGTTAAGGAAAAAGGGGCCAAAAATAAGCATTTTTGTAACTTCCAGACAATAACTTGTGTTTAAGTGTATGGATCTCTCTGAAATTATACCACAAGTTTCCATAACTCAAAGGGATGGTTAGGATTGGCTTTGGGGGTTATGGCTCAAACCGTTTAGGAATTAGGGGCAAAAAAGGGAAAAAAACAAGGGTTTCCTGGTTAATGGACAATTTAAAAGCAGTGTAAGGGAGGTAATCCAAAAACAAAATTGTACAATGTTGTACAATGTTGGATTACCTCCCTTATACTGCTTTTAAATTATCTATTAAGATTGGACCCCTGCGGTCGTTTCCAGCTGCCCTCAGCAAAGCATTTTATTTATGAATTTATTTCTATCATTCATCATCAATTTTTCTGTTTAAACCTTTAAGATATTTCCTCAACACTGCATTGTTTTTATAAAGGGACGTAACACCACTACTAACCGTGTATTGAAATAAGCCCCACCTAAAAACCTCAGGGGCCAGATTTGGAATATACACTGTCTCCAAGTGGTTGCTTTTAACCGATCATATTCCTAGAAATGTATGAGAGTTAAGATAATAGTGTTTATACCTACATCAAATATAAGCGAACAAGTGATGTTATCCTGAAATTGTTCAAATACATAAAGCTTGATTGTTGATACTTTAAACTTTTAATTTATTTGCAGATTTGTTCTTGGATTTATTACCCTGCTGGTTGAACTTGGTATTTTTACTAAAGTAAAGATGTCCTTCTTAATGGTTGGCCACACCCATGAAGATATTGACCAAGTATTCTCAAGGTACAAAAAATTATTTCTGTAGTTGCTTCTCTTTTAAGTACTTTAAACATAAGCAAAATTGAGAGGAAGACTTTTTATCCTTACCAAACACATTATTTTTACTCCAATCATCTCAGTAATAATTACTCTTATTTTAAATGCTAAGATGAAGAGCAAAAAAGTTTACAATACCAAATTTCAAGTTTTCACTTTGACTTAACCAAAAATCATACTCAACAGCTTATCACCATTGAGGCAAGCACTCTTGGTGTAATACAACTAAATCACAGTATGTCACATCCGGTTGCATACAAAAAACAGTAAAAAAAAGTATTTCCTTGAATTTGACAGTTGTAGGAAATTTATCCTACATTTCATAGCAGTAAAAAAATATTTGTCATAGACATATACCGTAGATGTTTCAAATCACCATTTTTTTTTATTTGGTGATTCTATAGAATATTTTGGAAACTTGAGGTCACATGATTACTAAAGCTTGTACACAGGAAGAAAAAGGGTGAAAATTTGATTGGCTAACTTCCAATGATGGTTATTTTCTTATATGCAATGAAACATTATGTGAATTTTTTTCAAAAGTAGATGAATGGATAAATCTTTACTCATGTCAAGTATTTCTTTATTTGAAACAAAGATAAATTTTCTACAATTTCTTGAAAAGTGCAAATTTAACAAAGACTAATAGGGGGAAATTAATGATGGTATTGCACCTCTTTTCACAAAGCAAACCAGGCTATTATTTGATTAAAGTATTTTTTAATTATTTTTGTATTCCTTAATTTTGTTTAAATTTGACAGTCCAGTCATAGTATTTAGTTACATTTTTTTAACAGATTTTCCTCCTGGTTGGGACGTAAAGCAATTCTCACACTTCCAAAACTAATGACTGGTTTTGAATGCTGCACAACACCATCACCAACTTCAGTGAGGACCTCACATGTATGGGATGTGGCAGGGTGGATAGGAAAATCCTTAAATAAGATTAGCAACCATTCTTATCCACATGTCTTCAAAGTAGAAAAGAGAGATGGACAGACCAAATTATTCTATAAAAAGTGGTCAACAGATAAAGTAAATTCTTAAGCAATCTCTATGTAACATTTTTTTGCATTGTCTAAAGATTTAAGTTACGTTTTAAAAACTGCAGTTGCAACTGTCCAATCCATCAAATGATAGCTACAACTCTTCCATTATAGTACTGATATCCCTTTAATATACATTCAGTATATAAGTTTGTGTTATAAACTCTTGAGTATATTAGCTTGTCTATTAATACAATCCAGAAATTACTATGTTACTCCAGCCATGCATAATATAACACTACATGCTTGGTATGTAAGTTACTATTTTTGGCTGTCATACAATTTTTGAAATATGTATGTTACTGTAACAGAGGTGATGGAATGACTAAGACATGATTAGCTAAAAGTGGAAGTCTTCCAAAAGGTGCTCTTATTCATAGCCTACTTCTTATCAGAGAAATGTTGAATGACAATTAATCACAAAGATTAGAAATGTATTTTGCTTTTGATTATCTTTATTAATATTTTTATTTCCCAGAAGGTGCTCTTTAATAATAATGCTTTTTTTTCTTAAGAAGGCAACAAAATTCTAATAGGAAACAGTTAGTTGAGTATCAGTTTGGTATTCCATACTCGGTGATACCTATAGCTAGTGATACTCAAGTAATCATTGACATCCCTTATTTAATATGAAATATGAAAACTTAATTGGTAATCTGGTCATAATTTTTTTTTTTGTCTCATTGACAATCATATCACATCTTCTTATTTATATACTAGACAGATGGACAGCCTTTGAGATGTTCCCTTGGTATCTTCTACCCCTTGTTTAGCACATAAGTATTTTTTCTTGGTTTAATATATAATTTTAAGGTCTATATATCAGACTTAAATTTTAATCAATAAATTTTTTTCAAGGTATGGCTTGAAACAACAGAACAACTTTTAATGAATATACCTACAGATGCACCACAGCCTGTTGTTCCAATTTTGACCAAACTAGATTTGAACAAGTTAAAGAATGACATACGCACATCCTTCTCCTATTTCAAACGAGACGAAGACAAGAAATGGTGGGAAGAATTTTTTGAAGAACTTAACAGTTTTGGTAAGTTATTTGGTAAATGTTGATTTTTTTTTAGTTTGTTCTTATGTTGATGCCTTTAAAACCAAATACATTTGTACAAATAGCAAACATGATGAACAAATTGTGTAAAATTGTCTTTAAAGGGCAATTACTCCTTAAGGGATCGATTGACAATTTTGGTCTTTTTAATAGACTATTTTCATATTACCAACTTTTGACTCGGGATTATATAATTTGTTGACTGGTTACCTTGTACATCATGGTACCAAGTCAGGTAAGAGCAAGCTAAAGAAGTAAAACCAAGCGATTAATCGGTACAATTTTGGGGGAAAACTACCTGCTTAACATTTTTTTTTCACTACAAAATCATCTGAAAACAATAAGCTTTCCCCTCAAATTACACCTATTATATGTTTGATTTTACTTATTTTGGTTGCTCTTACTTTACCGAGTACCATGATGTCCAAGGTAACCAGTCGACAAATTATATAATCCAGAGTCAAAAGTCGGTAATATGAAAATAGTCTATTCTTTTATTGATCTCGCTTTGCTGAACATTATTGCTGTTTACAGTTTATCTCTGTCTTTAATAATATTGAAGATAATTACCAAAAACTACAAAAGTTCCTCAATTACAAATTTAGAGGCAGCAATCCAACAGTTGGTTGTTTTTTTTGTCTGAAAATTTCAGGGTTGATCGAACTTAACCTATTGAACGTTTTAACAATTGTCTGATTTGCTCTAAATGCTTCAGTTTTTTAGATATTAGCCAAAATCTGCGTTTGATCCCAATGTTCTGTTTAACCATGTTGGCCATGTTTATCAATTGATCAAAACTTCGGATACAATTTATAAACTAGATACCATAAGGATCAATCAGTTAAAGTTTGGGTGAGGGGTCCAAGAAATGATTTTTCCAGAAATATGAACATCCCATATCAATTTTTTTTGTGTGAAATTTCTTAGATATGTATTTTTTCAATCATTAATAACAAAGAAGTAAATAATATGCTTTTTGTTCTAAAAAAAAAAGAGAATAAAAAGCTGTGCCATGAGCGCATGATACGCCCGTCAGGTTTTCATATCAGAAATATATAAAAATTGAAAGGGAGCTTACATCAAAAGATATAAACAATTCACCAAAGTTTCATGAGAACTGCTGAAAGCATTTTTGAGTTATTGTCCAAAAAAAGGAAAATTCCCCTTTATTCTAATAAATAAAACCCCATAACTCAGAAACGTAAATCTAAAATTTATAAAGAATGAAAGGGAGTTCACATCAATAGATATAAACAATTCACCAAAGTTTTATGCAAATACCATATAAGTTTTCTTCACCAATTTTATTTTTTTACAGTCATATAAATAAAAAAAAATCAGGTTGAGAAAAATTTTAATATATATTTGACATATTGCATATTGTATCTAAAAAACTATAAACTTAACGGTAACCATGAAAACTTAAGATTGAGCAATGATCCATAAAAATTAGGTATTAATCAGATGATAATTGCCAGACAGACATATATACCTTACAATCATTCTATACATTGATAAACAGCTACACCATGAGTGCATGATATGCCCATATCTATTTTAAAGAATAAAGTTCAATAACTTCTCAATGTGATATCAGAAATTTATGAAAAACTAAAGGGAAATTATCTTAATAGATATAAAGCAGTCACCAAAGATATTTTCTGAAAACTGGAAAACCACCCCTTTTTATGAATAAAATCCCATAATGTGGAAATGTTAAATTAAAAATTTATAAAAATCGAAAGGAAGTTTATGTCTGTTGTGACTGTGACTTTGTCTTCATGTACGTGATACGCAAAACAGTGTTTACGTTGTTTCCCGTATTTTGACGTTGTGTGATAGTGACGTGAGAGGAGATAGATGTGTTGTCGAATGAAGATGATAGCTCAAATGTTTTTAAACTGTAGGAGATTATGTCGTGTGTTTTTCTATTTCATGTAACGTCTGTCTAATACATACAGTGAATAAATTGTGTTATTTTCATCAAAACTGCTGAAAGCATTTTTCAGTAATTGTCCGAAAACTGAAAAAAATCCCCTGTTTGTTAAAAAAATAAAACTTCATAACTCGGAAACTTTAAATCTAAAATTTATAAAAATCAAAAGGGGGCTCATTTCAATAGATATACACAATTCACCAAAGTTTCTTGCAAATTGGGGAAAGTGTTTTTGAGTTTTTGTCAGAAAACTGGAAAATAACCCTTTTTAATGAATAAACCCTTATAACTGGGAAACTCAAATTCTAAAATGATATAAAAAAAAAAGGGAGCTGAGACACTTCAATAAATATAAACAATTCACCGAAGTTTCATGCAGATTGGTAAAAGCTTTCTGTAACAGAAGTGGCAGGCTTGACAAAAAATTGTGAAAAAAAAACAAATAAAAGATAAAAATCAAAATTAAACAATTCCATTTAGAACATTATAATAGTTACAGTATCCCTGTTCCATAGTAAAAAAAAGCTGGACCAAACCCACCTGCAAAATTTTTAATAATTTGTCAATCAAAATATAATATAAAGTATGGGTCACTGGACTTTTTTTCTCGCTACAGGTTGTGCTAAATGTCAGATTTTGTATATATTATTCATAGAAAATCCAATTTGTGTGATCCAATGAAAACTACACCATAGAATATTAAGATAAATGTGAGAAGATAGCTCTAATAACAATGCTTTCATATAAGAAAAAGAAAAAAAGTGGGCCACCAGACTTGTTATCTTGTTACATCTTAAAATAGGTAAAATCACAACACTTTCCATTATAAAAAATACTTTATCTAAGTTATCTCCCCTTATGTGGCAAAGTTGAAAAAAATGGATCAAACAAAAATATTGTGTTTTTCAGAAAATACAGCAGTAAACATGATTAAACACACAATTTGCTTTATTAACATGAAAAGTCTAACATATGAATTACATACTACTCTAAAAACTAGCACATTTCTTTAAAGACCTAGACCAAAATCCAAGATGAAGGAAACACCCCAGCCACATTAAGGATGTATTCTTCTGACGTTTCAGTCTCGTTGAAATCTTGTTCTGGAATTATTTCCAAAACATGTGATACAAGAGGAAAATATCAATGAATTTTAAAAATATTATAATCAAACATAACTGATTTTAAATTTTACGACCAATCAAGTTAGTCTTTTTAGCCAAAATTTTGAGAAAATGGGTGAGGGGTACAAAAAATGATTTTTACAAGAATCATGTACATCCCATATCATTTTTGTCTTCAAATTTCTTAGATATGTATTTTTTCAATCATTTATAACAAAGAAGTTAAAATGATATGCATTTTGTTCTTAAAACTGAGAAAAATCACAAATTTCCAAAATTGACAGCATGGTAAATTTGACACAAAAAAGCATCAAAATATGATAAAACTTTCTTATATTAACACCTACCTATAGTTTTTTTTAAGTTAAATTTATTCAGATTGGTCCAATCAATCTTTATTGAAAGTATGAAAAAAAGTTTAATTGTGGAACTGTGATTTTTTTCACGATAATAGCCCAAAAATAGGTAAAAATTGATGAAAAATGGGAAAATCATCAAAATTGGGTATTTTCAAAGGGCCGTAGCAAAAAAAGAATTGCACCACCATATGATTTTTTTCTTCACCAATTATTTTTTTACAGTCATATAAACCAAAAAATCAGGTTAAGAAAAAAAGTTTAATTCTAGAAATTTTGGGCTCCTCAGAGGTGTACATCCTTAATATGGGAAATTACACTAAATTTTATTGTATCCATGACATCATGAATTCGATGACAAATTGCTTGTGTACTTTGAAAAAAAACTATCACTGACTGTATATTTCTTTTGTTTTATTGTAATTTTGATACATGTAGAATAATTTCCTTATTTTGAAGGCCTCAAATGAATAAAAGAAAAAGAAAAGAATTGTTAACAATGTTTGCTTTCCTTTTTTTCTGTTTCTTTTTTGTCATTTAATGATATATCCTTTCTTTTCAATTCAATTTGCAACCATAAAATTTATGCTTATGCTTAGGCCTAGCTTTAAATATAACACAATAATAGTTAATAATTATTAAATCTTTATCTTTACAGAGTCAACATCAGAAACTTCAGAAACTCCTTGGCCACTTCAACAGTTGATCACAAATGCAAAGAAAAGAGACCATGAAATCATCATAGAACAACAACAACAAGATGACGACAACGAAGTGACAGATTTATCAGATGAAGATGAACCTATACCTCCAGTAAATAATAATTTTATCAGTTAGAATGAAAAATGAAATGTCACTGTATGAAGCAATCCTTTTGTAAAATGTGTCTAATGCATTTTTTATGAAATAATTTTTTATCATTGGCTTACATTTAAGGTATTATAGTGATCTTCAATATTGACTTGGCTTGGTGAATTAAAAAAATGTTCCAATTATCAGAATATAATCTAAAACAAATCAATGTTTACCTCAAAACATTATTAATTTTTAATGTTGAATTGAGAATTTAAGGCATTCATAAGTAAGCAAATAATCTTCTGTTGTAAAGTTTTCATATGTATAATAAGGTTTTTCCTTTATGTTTCTGTGCTAAAAAAATTGATAAACTTTCACTTTGTACATTTTTTAAAGCTTTATACTGTTGTATAATTTTCAAAGTAATGCATTACAAAATGATTATATTAACTGTTCTTTAGTGGAAGAGTTGCAACTGTCAATTGGGGAATTAACTTTTGCTAGTATCTGTTTTACTGGCCTCACTTCAAATTAACAATTATATTGCATTTGAAACCATCAATTACACAATTGACAGTCATGTGGTAACTCTTTTTCCAACTACAGAACTGTTTTTCCTTAACCGAACATTCATGTTATAGTCAAAATGTCACAATGTTGGTGTAAAAGGAGTTCCTTTGAGAAATCACATGATCAACTATACACGAGTGCATCTTTAATGCTATAAAAATATGCTTGTTTATTCACTATCTGTCTATTACATATCTTTAAAATAAAATGTGTTCTAGGTCAGTGAAAATGGATGTCACACTAAACTCCAAAACATATAAATGAACTAAAATTAAAAAAAAAGACTTACAAAAGCCAGAGGCTCCAGACAGGGGTAAAAATACAGCTTATAGAAAGAGGTACCTACTTTAAAACAGAGTTAACTCTCTGTGTTGAAGATGGTACTTTGACCTATAATGGTTTTCTTTTACAAATTGTGACTTGGATGGAGATTTGTCTCATTGGCACTCATACCACATCTAATCTTATATCTATTAACTCTTGCATATCTTTGTTATCATAAATAGCTTATAATACAGTTAATTTAAAATGAGATTGGCCATCATTTTATTGGTTAGGAAAGTATATTGTTTATTTCTTTATTTCAGATCATTGTTGGAACTAAGAAAACCAGTACCTTGAAAAGTAATGGTTCTGTGACTGTTGGGGAAATGGTTCTGCTGAATTTACAAGAATTTTGCAATGAATGGCCACAGGTTGCACAAGTGGTGGAGATTGAGGAAGCAAACAGTACTTGCACTATCCACTGGTATAAGGTGCAAAATCAACCAACTGGAAGCCATGTTCTAAGCCTGTAAGAGGGAAAAAAGGGAAGAGAGAACCGTGGATAGTGCAAGTGGATATTACTTCAATTATTTATGGAAATTTTGAGCTAACTAAAGGAGGATATTTACCTAAACACATAAAGGAATTTTGTACATCTTTTGAAAATTAAATTTAAGGCTGTTCGCTGATCTTGGTTTTTTTTTGTCAGATATTCTGAATCCTCTGCTTTTATCCATGTAGTCTATAAAAAAAATGGCCAATAACTTCTACTTTTCTTTTCATAATCTTATTACACATAGTTTGAAAGCCACTTATGAAAATCTTATATAATCCATGTCATTTTTATCATACTTTTGAGAGAAATAAGGTGCATATGTTAAATGTATAAAAAGGTGAAGAGAGAATTGTCTCATTTTTCCTGCATTTTTAATTCTGAAATTAATGCACTAGCATTTTATAAGTCTTTTAAAAAACTTGTCATTTTGAAACAGATTGGTGAACATCCTTATGAATGAAATTCAATAAACCACAGCCTCATTATAGCCATATTTTAAAATGTTTTATCAAATGAATTAGACTTACTGGTATAATTTTTTTTCTCTCAATTTTTGCATAATGGTATAAATATCTTAAGAAAATGTTTCTTCACAAATCCATGCAGCTATTCACCTAACCATAACTGGTATTTTATCTAAGGGTCATTTATTTTGTTTTTGAAAATACTTTCTTTGAAAGAAATAAAACCACTTTGGAACAAATCATTGAAAATTTGTAAGCTTTTTGAAGTTCCAATAACCTGGAATATGAAGTCTAACCAAATTTTAAAGCAGTTGATAGAATTTGCAAAAAATATGTCTTAAAAGGTTTCACTAAAAAAAATTAAAAAGGAGAGATAATAAAGTTACATTGATCGATTGTTGTTTGCTTTACATAACTAAGTTACTTACCTATGAATTACGATAGTATGTTGAAAAATCACATGGGGAGTTAGTTAATTTATAAATAGCCTGGGATTTTGGCTCATTGCTTGACGGGCGGAATACAACGACAGGGTTTCCTCAATTTGATGTTAGAATAGGATAGCATCATTTCTTGACCAGTGGAGAGATATATTTATATTGCCACGCATTTATGGAAAATTATTTTTATTTTCATATGAAATGCATATTTTGAATAATTTAGTAAATCAAGTTATTGATTAAAATCGTGAATCACCATTTTATTAACAATGTGATCATATATTTGTTGTTCATAGAACATGCACATGCGCAGTAATTCAGTCCTGTTCAGCACAGATAGTTGGTCACATAGATTGTATTACACCTGACCCTAACTAGATTGGGTAGAATGCCAGGCTATAAATATTACTAGCGGCAGTTAAAGAATTTTTTTTTTAAACCAAGAAAGTTGACAAAATCAATTGTTTTGTAGCCACTCATAACTGGATTTTAACCATATTTAACACTGGATGTTACAAATTTGTTTCCAACATAAATCTGAGTGTTTCCTTGGGTCTAGAAATAATGGCAGTTAACTAGAAGTAACATCATAAAAAGTAAATACATAATTTCTGTTTTAGACAATATCTGTCTTTTTCTTTATACTGCAACTAAAAACTGTTTAAAAGAAGACATCAACATTCTGCAAAAGCCTTATAGATAAAAAAAAAGTTAAAAATCAAACAAGGCTTTATACAGTAAATATTAATATGCTCAATGCAATCTGACTATACAAATTAAACTGTTGCAATATAAATCGAAATAAAGATTACAGGCAATTAATTTGTTTTTAATAATCAGGTTGGTAAAATAGTGTCATTCCAGGAATGTTTGTGAATATTGTTCAGAGTACATTTTTATATTTTAATAAGCTCTCATATTGTATAGTATTAGCTTGAAAGATAGTGTAGAATATAATTTGTCACTTATTACATGTATAATTTGCACAAGTGCAAAATAATTGAATATTGCTTGCTAACTTTTTCTTTACATTCAGTGGAAAATATTTTGTTGCTATACAATAATCTTTAATCCTAATAGGGAAGTCTGTCAATTTTCTAAGTTTGTTATCATTGTTAATCAGTAGTTACATGACAACTAATATTTAAATAGCTGTTCCATAAGTTGTATATATATCAAATATGTATTAAGGAATCAGGTGAATGCTTTGCTTGAAATATGTCTATTTTATTTATATTTACTGCCTTCAATTTGATATAATTACATAAGATGTATGTTTCATTATAGTACGTAATTCTGATTGGCTTACAGCAATCTCTCATCCACCTTCATTTCAAAATTAATTGTCACATTCATGATGACACATGCTTTTACAATAAAGTGCACAGGTAAATAAAAGAAAAACTTGATAGTAATTGTGTTTTCATGATCGAAGCGAAAAAATGTCATTTAAACAATTGAGTGCTTCTTTTGGTGATTTCATGGGGTTGTAAAAGCATTGACCGTGCACACATTTTTAGAATACAATATATCAACGCTTTTACATCCCAAAGAATTTACTAAAAGAAGCATTCAATTCTTAATAATTACATTACATGTTTGTTTCATTATATTACGTTATTTTGATTTACTAACAGCAATCTTGTGTCCTTCTGAAATTGACATTCATTACACAATGATATTTAACATTCAAGATGACACGGAAAATGAAATAAAAACTTGATAGAAATCGTGTTTTCATGATCCTTGCTAAAAAATGTAATTATAAGTATTGAATGCTTCTTTTTGTAATTTTATAGGGTTGTAATAGCGTTGACCGTGTGCACATTTTTAGAATGAAGCGCTTCCGTGATTCATACAAAATGTACTTTGGTCAATACTTTTACACCCCAATGAATTTACAAAAAGAAGCATTTAATTTTTAAATGCAAATAACATTTTTTTAAATGGAATACTTGACTACAGAAGGTGGACAACTCTTTTTTAATAACACCTTTGAAGTAGATTCCTTGTACTTCATTCAAATGATCAAGTTGAAGTACTCAAATAGCAGACATTGCATGATTAATGAAACTCTATCCTTGCTTCTAGGAAAAGGCTTTTTATGAATAGACTTTTACACAGAATGTGTCAGGTTAAGGGGAGATAATGAGCAACAACAAGAAAATGTAATTGTTAATGTTATTATTGGCAATTTTTCAATATTGCAAGTCTGTATTTTCAATGCACATTAATCATTTAAAGAGATGTAGCAAAAAAATATATTAATCAACATTGTAAAAATATTTGTTTGAATACATTCATTGTCATTTCTTTTTCATGTTCTTATTATTTTAAAACTGAATCAGCATGTAATTTAGAAAAAACTATTATAAGCAATTTATGGGTAAAAAATTGAAAAAGAAAGTTGTTTTCTAATGCTCTATTATGTCAAATTGAATTTATATATGAATAGATTTAAAAGGTGTAATTTTGAAGCAAAACACATTTTCAAATTTATTCCATAAATATGTTTAACAAATTATGTGGTATTTCTCTCATTTTTTAAAGTATACAGATTCAGAAATTTTATAATTCATAGTTTAATTTCATTTTATTAGTGCAACAAATTGCTGGGTTTCAATTCCATAATTAAGGATCTGAGACAGTGTGTTATAAAAGCATCATTTGATATAAAGTGTAATTTTTATACGACCGCAAAAAATTTTTGCGGTCGTATATTGGTATCACTTCGGCGGCGTCATCGTCCGTAGACACCTAGTTTTCGCACAATAACTTTAGTTTAAGTGAATGGATCTCTATGAAATTTAAATACAAGGTTTGAAACCATAAAAGGAAGGTTGGGATTGATTTTGTGGGTTATGGTCCCAACAGATATTAGGAATTAGGGGTCTAAAAAGGGGTCCAAATAAGCATTTTTCTAGTTTCCAGACAATAACTTGTGTGTAAGTGTATGGATCTTTCTGAAATTGTACCACAAGGTTCCATATCAAAAAAGGAAAGTTGGGATTGATTTTGGGGGTTATGGCCCTAACTCTTTAGGAATTAGGGGCCAAAAAGGGGCCAAAAACAATACTTTTCTAATACTTTGTATAAATTGCTTATTTGTTGACCAATTTCAATGGGGTTTTATTCTTGAATTCTTCGGGTTCTTTAATATGCTGAAAATGACCATGTATTAAGTTTTTGGATTTTGGGCCCCGTTTTTAAATTGGTCCACATTGAGGTCCAAAGGGTCCAAAATTAAACTTTGTTTGATTTCATCAAAAATTGAATTATAGGGGTTCTTTGATATGCCGAATCTAACCTTAAATTTAGATTTTTAATTTTTGGTCCCGTTTTCAAATTGGTCTACATTAAGGTCCAAAGGGTCCAAAATGAAACTTAGTTTGATTTTAACAAAAATTGAATTCTTTGGGTTCTTTGATATGCTGAATCTAAACATGATTTTAGATTTTTGACTATGGGCCCAGTTTTCAAGTTGGTCCAAATCAGGGTCCAAAATTAAACTTTGTTTGATTTCAACAAAAATTGAATATATGGGGTTCTTTGATATGCTGAATCTAACCATGTATTAAGTTTTTGGATTTTGGGCCCCATTTTTAAATTGGTCCACATTGAGGTCCAAAGGGTCCAAAATTAAACTTTGTTTGATTTCATCAAAAATTGAGTTATTGGGGTTCTTTGATATGCCGAATCTAACCTTAAATTTAGATTTTTAATTTTTGGTCCCGTTTTTCAAATTGGTCTACATTAAGGTCCAAAGGGTCCAATATTAAACTTAGTTTGATTTTAACAAAAAATGAATTCTTGGGGTTCTTTGATATGCTGAATCTAAACATGTATTTAGATTTTTTATTATGGGCCCAGTTTTCAATTTGGTCCAAATCGGGGTCCAAAATTAAATTTTATTTTGATTTCAACAAAAATTGAATATATGGGGTTGTTTGATATGCTGAATCTAACCATGTATTTAGTTTTTATATAAACAATTCACCAAAGTTTCATGAGAACTGTTGAAAGCATTTATGAGTTATTGTCAGAAAACTGGGAAATCCCCCTTTTTTTATGAATAAAACCCCATAACTCGGAAACTATGTTTCTTAAATTTATAAAAAACAAAAGGGAGCTCACATCAATAGATGTAGACAATTCACTAAAGTTTTATGCAAATTGGTTAAAGCGTTTTTGAGTTTATATCCGACATGTTGACGACAGATGGACAGACGGATGGACAACAGTATACCATAATACTTCCCGTACACTGGAGTATAAAAATGCATATGACATGGAATTACTTTAATGAAATGATGAATAAGGGATAAAAACTACATATTATGTTGGTTTTTTTTAATTTAAAAAGAAATTGCCTAGTTCACTAAGTGCTTTACCATTATGAATTTATAACAACTGTATAAGTTTTAAAGTTGATGGATTTGGCCATTCATATTTTGAAATGTATTGTTTTCTTCAATTACATTGGTTTTGCATATAGTAAATAACCTATTTCCTTTGTCTACATTGCAATGTCTGCCTGTTTCTATATTGATACTGTGAACAGAATTTGATTTAACATATGTAAATAAGTATTAACATCAATTATAACAGTATAAGTAATTTTATCAACTGTATTCTTACAAGTTAGTGTGTTAATCATTTGAAACAGTTGTTAATTGAAAAAAATGTTGAATGGAATTAGATATGCCAATTTTATTAATGGTATTACTTTTAATATAAAATGAAATCTTCAAAAGTGTTGTTTTCCATCATTTCTGTTATATATAATTTAATATGTAGCCAGCAAAATATTCAATTTATTCTTGATTTGGAGAATATTTGGATAAACAATATGATACTTACTATAGAAATAAGGTAATTATAAGCATTTTACACTGTTATTAACAGATTAAATTAAATTTAAAAAAATCTTTGACCAAAAAAAATTGATAATGGAAATGGGGAATATGTCAAAGAGACAACAATCCGACCAAAGAGCAGACAACAGCCGAAGGCCACAAATGGGTCTTCAACGCAGAGAGAAAATCCCGCACCCGGAGACAGTTTTATAATGACAAATGATTCTGTGATCATTTGTATAAATAGAAATGATTGTTACTATCATTCAAAATCCTTGCAGCTACAAGGTGTATGAAATTTTACACACTACTATGGTGAGCCCCCATGTCCCTTTGCACTAGGGTTGCATGGTTAAGCAGTCATGCTAATGGAAAATGACTGTGAGAAAAGTTCAACATATTTTCATATAGACCTATCAGCATCTTTTGTAATTTATTTAAATCTTTGTCTGATGCAAATAGGTCACTAGCATCTGACATTGATATGCATCAAAAGTGTTTTCCAATTAAAATGGTCATATTCAAAATATAAAGGTCAGTTGAATTTTTCTCAACTCAAAGCAGTTATAGTGCACAGGATATCTCGTGTGAAGAGTGATGAGTTTAAATAGTGGAAAAAGCATGCAAATATATAAAAAAAACTATCTACACAAGAGATATACAACTACTGCCTATCTTGTTATTATGTTATATACACCATAGCATTATAACAGAGGAAAATTAATGAGTCATGGGCAATGTATAGTGTGATGATGCAAAAGATTTAGCAAAGCATTAACAACAAAGATTAGTGCAACACACAGCATGCTAATAAAAGATCACATGAAAGTAAAAAAATTGAGAAAGACTTCTATTTGAATCTTCCTGTTTGATGAAGTAAACAAAATACACAGGTTAGGCAGATTCAAATGAAAGTCTTTGATAAATATCAACTAAACACAACTAAATGTTCTGCAACATTCCTAAATTGATCCCTGATGGCTTCCAACTTGATTATGGCCAAACAGCTTCCTTCGACAGCATCTCTACTCAGTACTCAGCATTTACATTCATATATTTGGAAAGTGCACAGTATCTATTTTTTTTTTTCATCAAATAAATGCAGTGCACAAATCTTCCCATTATAATTTGTTTTCTTCAATAGAATGTTCTGTGCCGCGCACAACACATTCCATTGGAAAATGATCTTTGTTTTAAATAGTATTTTTCAATAGAATGTTCTGTGCCGCGCACAACACATTCCATTGGAAAATGATCTTTGTTTTAAAAGTATTTTTCAATAGAATGTTCTGTGCCGCGCACAACACTTTCTATAATAATATAATCTTTTTTAAAAGTCAATAGAATGTCCATTGGAAAATGATCTTTGTTTTAAATAGTATTTTTCAATGGAATACTCTGTGCTGCGCACAACACTTTCCATAACAAAAAGACTTATTCAAAGCACAGAATTATCACAATACATTAATCTGCTGGGCAATTCATATAAGCACCAACATCACCTGAAAAAAAAATACTGGCTTGATCAACTAAAATGGTCAGAGAAGCATATAAAAAAATGAAACAACTATGATAATGCAGAACGAACAGGCTTGATGCATACTTTTTATTGAAAAAGATCAGCACTGGGAATTATATAAAATTCCATAATTAATAATAATTCCAACTTTATATAATAGGCTGTTATATGTACATCTTTAAATTGTGAATATATGTACAATATCTTTTACTAAGGCCAGAGACATATACTTGTATTATATGTCTGTTCTTAGGCTTATGATGACTTTTCAATACTGTAACAGTTTATTTTTTACTGAAGTATAATAATCAATTATTGCAAACCAAATGAAAGTTTTCCACAGTGCCATCTCTATCTTAACCAGGTATTTAAACTTTTGCAAGTTCACCTGTCCTATTGAATAAATACAATAGCTATTGTTCTTTGTGTAGTTTATTCTCTGGGACCTTTAAAGTTCTTCTAAGAGAAATCTATCATTCATTGATTAAATTACCTGAGTAAAAAAATGATCTTATATGTAGACAAAAATACTTTTTTTATACTCATTAACTGCGTGTGATGATGTAGTTATTCAATATTAATAATATATTTTCATTCAGTTTAATATAAACATTGATTCAATCATAAAAAGTTGATTTCTGACAAAACTTTCAACATTGTTCCTTTTAAAAAAAAGATTGTTTGACATGAATAAGAACTTGAAAATAATGATGTTTCAAATTAAGATCTTCTTAAATGTATTCTATAACTAAACAAAAAAATATCAAATTTCAATAGGAACATTAATAAAACTTTTGTTAGAAATTAACTTTTTATGATTGAATCAATGTTTATATTAAACTGAATGAAAATATATTATTAATATTGAATAACTACATCATCACATGCAATTAATGAGTATAAAAAAAGTATTTTTGTCTATATATAAGATTTTTTTTTTACTCAGGTAATTTAATCAATGAATGATAGATTTCTCTTAGAAGAAATTTAAAGGTCCCAGAGAATAAACTACACAAAGAACAATA